TAAAAAAATAAAAAAAATAAAAAAAGAAGAAAGAAAAGAAGTTGAAATCACAGTTCACAAAGAACAGAGGAGATTACAAACAAGGCTACTAGTATAGATTAAAAAGAAGAAGTAGTTGTATAAGAATATATTCATGAGGAAAGTCAGGAGAGGAAATGAATAAGAAAAAGAAGGATATAAATAATATAAGAAATAGTACTAAATGAGAAGGAAAAAGAGAAAAGAAATAAAAAATAAGAAAGATGGGAGAAGTTAAAATAAAAAAAAATGGAGTAAAGAGAAAAGGAGGAGCAAGAATAGTAAGAAATAAAAATAAAGGAGAAATAAAAGTATAAAAGAATAGACGAAGTGAAAACAAAGAATAAACAAAAGAATATAAGAAATAAGAATAAGTCATATAAAGAAGATAAAAGAAAGTAGAAAATAGAAAAAAGGAATAATAAAGGATAATAAAAGAAATAGGAATAAAATAGTCAAATAAAATAAGAAGGAAAGGGAGAGATAATAAAAAATATAGAGAAATCTGAATAAAAATGGAGAAGAATGAATAGTATAGAAGAAGATAAGAAATAAGAAATAGAAAAGACAAATATAATAAATAGAGAAAGAAATAAGAAAAGAGTAAAGAGAAATAATAAGTAAAAATAAAGAAGAATAAGAAAAAGACAAGTATAATAAGAAATAAAAAATAAATAAAGAAGGATAAAAAGAAGATAGTAAAAAATAAAAAGATAAATAAAAGAAATAAAGGAAAAAGAAAGGAAGAAAAGGAATAAATAAAGGAAAATATAAAAGTGAAGAAGAAAAAAAAAGATAATAAAACATAAAGAGAAATAAAGGAAAAAAGATAAAGGAAAAAGAAGATAGAAAGAATAAAGAATAAAGAAAAATAAAAGAAGAAATAAATAAGAAGAGATAAAAAAAGAAGAAATAAGAGAAAAATAAAGAGATAAAAAAGAATAAGAAATAAGAAGTAAAATAAGAAGAGGGGAATAAGAAGAAAAGAATAAAATAATAAAAAAAGAAGGAGATAATAAAGAAAAAGAAAGAATAAATAATAAAAGAGATAAATAATAATAAAAGATAAAGAAGAAAAGGATAAAAGAATATAAAAAGTAAATAAAAGTAGAGAGTATAAAAAGAATAAATAAAGATAAAGATAAATAAAGAAGAAATAAAAAATAAAAATTATATAGATATAATGAATAAATGAATTATATTTTTATTTCTTTTATTTCAATTGATTTTTATAATTTCTATCATTTTATTTCATATTTTCATTAATTGTATAATATCTATCATTATTCTTTCATTAATCTTATTATTTTATTTTATATTCTTTAATTTTTATTATTCATCTTTTATGATTAATCATTACTTATATTATTTTATCTTCTTCTTTTCATTCATTTCATCACTTCTATTTCTTTATTCTCTTTTATTATTTTTTTATTTTTTTATTTATTTGTTATTTAGAATAATTTATTTTTCCCTTTTATCTCTTTTATTATTCTTTCTTTATTTCTTTTTATTTTCTTTCTTATTTCTTTTCTTATTTTTTCTATCTTTTCTTTTTCTTTTATTCTTATTTTTTATTTTCTTTCATTTTTTATTTTTATCTTTTTATTTCAGATTAGAATATTACACATTACACATACCATATGCATTCATAATTTATTATGTTTTAAATTCACCTATTTATTGTCTTGTTATGATATTACTATTGATTATAAGATGTTTTAATTAATTTTGTAAGATATCAATGATTATTAATTAAGAATATTGAATATCATTTAAAATGAAAGTATATTTAATTATAAAGATGAGAATACTATTAATTAATTGATATGATATACAAGTATAAATAATAAATATTATATTAAGAAATAAAAAGTATCTGTTGATATGGTTGATGATAAAAAGAAAAATAAACATAATAACACAATAATAATGATTTGTTCTTATTAAAATAAGAAAATAAAAAAGAAGAAAATAAAATAAGCATTAAAAATAAGAAAATTAAAAGATGCATAATTAAATTAGAGATATATGAAATAGAGTAAATTACAATAAATAAATAAACAAAGAAAA